CAGAAAAAAACTAAAGGAAACCGAAGTGGAGGCAAGAAGCCCCAGATCTGAGACAAAGCTCAGGGAAAAAACACCCATTTCGGGTGGGGAGAGGCTAGGGACTCTCAAAATGAAGGAGGAGGAAGAGAGCTCTCAGAGAGCTCTCTGTGTCGATAAAGTGATCGAACCCTAAGAAAAAAGATTTGGGAATTGACCGTACGAAGGAAGCCAAAGGGGGCTGAGAAAAAGAAAAGTTTTTGTTGGTTTTTTTATTTTTATTAATATTTTATTCAACTTGTGTTTTAAAAAGATTATTTTATTCTTTTTTGACGGGCATTTGGATGGAATTGGGAAAAACCTAACAGCGGGGGTGAAATTGGCGATTAAATTTAATACGAAGGCTAAATTGGCTGAATTTTTTTTTCAGGGTGGACATTTCGACAAGCCAAATAGTCCAGGGGGGTTTTAGACCCTTTACCCTTCTTGGAAGCTAACATATCAAATTTTGAGAAGGCAAGTTCAATAGCTCCGAGCCGTAACATTCTACTAGAACAAGTTTGTAGATAATACAGAGAATGTCTACACTCCAGAACTAAACACAGAATGCTAGGGAACATAAGAACACAGTTTATACTGGTAACATATTACAATCAATTTCAGCTGGGCTCATTTAGTATTTGTAATTCCACATTCCAACACCAATGACAAATTTACATGTAAATCGAGATTGATAACAAAGAGTTGATCAAAGTGTACAAGGCTCGTTTGATAACGTTATTGTTTTTTGTTTTCTGTGGCTTTTTATTTAAGGATAGAGAAGAAAACAGAAGAGGAAAATGGGAAGAGGGCAGGATATGGGAAAGAATATCAAATGATTTCCTTTTATAGTCTCCTGTAATCTCCCTCCTCTCTTCTGCATCTCTCTAATCTCTCATCTCCCTCTCTCCTTTCTCCCATATCTTTCTCCTTGCTCTCTTTAATTTACAAAAAGAAAACAAAAGACAAAAACGTTATCGAACGAGCCTTCACAAACTTCTTCTATCCTTGAAATCTTGGTAAAGAATATAGTGAAAATACAGCTTCTGACAATAAAGTATTTCTCACAAACGAAATTAAAACAAGTTACTCAACAAAGTTACAAGGGAAACACTGAATGTGTCTACAGAAGCTCCAGCAACAGGAAAGAGTTGATGGCTTTTACCCTCCTGGCAGTGTATCATTCCAGATCTAGTATTCCGAAATTCGAGAGAAGGATCTTTACTTGATCAACAAAGTCTGAGCCAGTTGCATACTCTGTTAGCATTCCAACAGCAAAACCGAACATTGCCCATCTGTAAAGGCGAAAAAGGAAATAACAGAAGAAAGAAGATCCCAGATCAAGAAACCAAATTATGTCAGACAAGTACACAGACCAATACAGTGAAACAAAATTCCTTCTGTTCCTGGAAACACAAGTAGTTTGGTTGAGGATCAAATAAGGTTGAAAAAATCAGCATTGTAATCCATTTGAATGCCAAGTTAGGAAAGCATGTTGGTTCTACATAGGGAAAAAAAAACTTGCCTATCCAATGTTTCATACACCTTTCTCTCTATCTCTCATCACACGATCATGTGGTGAGAGAGATAGAGAGAGGTGTATGAAACATGTTACAGGGAAGTTTTACTCCTACATAGGGCTGTTGCATGTGTTATTGATTTTGTTTAGGTGCAGGTTCCTTAGAAATGATTATGCAGAATGTTGAAAACTAAAATGTAGATTCCTTGGAAGCTGTTCTCAAACACCAATTGACAGAAAGCTGATCAATTGAATATACTTCCCATGCCCAAACATTTGAATCCAAGTAAATAATGAATTCTTCTTATTTTATAGTGCCAAAGTATACAGGAAAATGAGAGTGAGAATAGAAGTGAGGATGAGATTGAGAGAGAGGATGAAAGGGGAGGATGAGAGGGAGGAGTAACAAAAGTGAAAACAAAATCTTGAAAGTGAAAACAATTTAAAATAGATTTCTGTTTTTAGTTTTTGTTTTCACTTTTGTTACTCATTCCCATCCTCTCCTCTCATCTTCCCGCTCAATTGCATCTCCACTCTCATTCTCACTTCCATTCTCCCTCTTTTTCTTCTATACTATAGCACAAAAAATGAAAACTAAAAACTAAAATTGAAATGATTATCAAAGGGGCCCTAAACTTCACAAAAATTCAATTTCCAAGTTATTTTAATGTTCTTAAAAAAGTTATCTTACAGCACTCAAACCCTGGCCTATGTCCCAAAAAGAGGAGGGATAAATCAAAATTACATACTTTTGAAGTCAAAATGAGTAATCATTCAGGGAAAGGATCAGCATATGAATCTGTATTTGGTTGGCCCTTTTGGGGATGCCATTTTTAGCGTTTGCTATCTAAAATTACTGATTTGGTAATTCACAGTTGAGCCCTTTTTAGTCTACCAAATTGTTCACTCCTATGCAATTGTAGATTAATTTCAATTGCATAATTCCAGTCCAATAAAAATCAAGACAGTCATAAGAAACTAAAAAACCCAGATAAGCCAAACTCTCTCAACAACATATATCAAAGCTTGAATTACCTTCCATTGCTAATCTCATTCTTCCCAACAAAGCCAAAGAATGGGCCCTGATTGGCAGCTTCAAGCTTCTTCTGCTTGAAGTACTCCTGAATCTCCTTAGCCTTCTGCCTCTGAAACTCCAAGGTCACCACATTCTTATTATCCTCCACCATGGTCAGCCCGGAAACCGGAGCTGGCTTCGAAAGCTGCTGCTGAGGCGGCGGAGGGGCCTGAGGAGAAGGAGGTGTTGGTTTGAGAGGAGAAGAAGGTGGGGAGGGTTCTCTAAGAGAAGGAGCTGCAGGTCTTCTTATAGGTCCTTCAGTTTGAGAGCTCCTTATGGTTTTTACATAATAAGGCTTGGCTGAAGGAGAGAGCTTAAAAGAATGATGATTAGAAGAAGAAGAAGAATGTGAAGAAGATGGGGAAGATGATGAAGTTGAGATTTTGATGCAAGGGAATGGAGATGCCACTGACATTTTTTTTTTGTTTCTCTTTCCTTTTTTGCTTGCTTTCTTTCTTTCTGAGGCTTGTTTTTATTTTCTTATTTTTCACTTTTATTTATTTTGTTGTTTGGTTTTGTTGGAGGATTTGGGTTCTGATGTGTGTTATCTCATCAAATAGATGGACTTCAATTGTTTTGTGGATAAGGTGTGGCCAAGTTGCAGTCAAAAGGAGATGGCTGGCTTCTAATTCTAAAGTCAGTTGGTCTGGGTGAAGCAGAGAAGTTAGGTTGTTGGCTGGCTTGAGTTTGGCGCCTAACGCCTTCTCAAGCATGTGACAGACACGTGTCAATTACCCTTTTCTATTTTTACTTTCTTTTGATAAAAGTGGGGGTATTTGAGCATAGAACCCTACAATTAATACTCTTAACTACTTGAGTTACAAGGTTATTTTGGTTTATGGATAAAATGTTGTTTTATCCGAAATTTTGCTTTGCTTGCGAAGGTAATCGATTATGATGAGCATGTACGATTAACTATATTAATTAAGGAATTTTTATCACAAAAACGTTTATGAAGTTCACGAAACTATCACCTTTGGTTTTCTATGCTAACAATCTAACATAATCCTTCACATAATCGAACGGCAAAATACATTTTTGATGTGCTGGGGTTAACATGAAGGAACATCTCAGACAGAAAAAAGAAAACATAAAATACCAAAGCTGATAATTTCGTGAGCCTCTAAGATGTTTTGTGACATAAACTTATAACTAAATTCGTACTTGATGCAAATCTTTAGTCTAATAGAGAATGATGAACCTGCCCATCCAATAACTACAACCGTATTGACTTGGGTGCAAAATACAAATTCGTACTGTGGACAATTCTCTGTTTGAAAAACTCATTTTGAAACACATCTCAAAGACTACCAATCGTGTGTCCAGTCTTCAACTATTTCATTGTTAATACTCAACTTCTACTATTCAACGCATTGTACCGTGCATCTTCCTTTCGGCTGTCGTATTATTTAGCCAAAACTGTCTTCTTTTTCACAAAGGCTCACGTACCCTTCTTTTAATTTAACAAATCTCAGTATTATTTATCAATAATTAACCCATTCTTCAAGGCTTTAACTTCAAGCCATATCTATTTCCAAGATAAAAGAAGGTCATGAACACTGCCTAAAGGAAAAAGGAGGCCATTGGAAACCATACGTAAAGTACATAACTCGTCATCTCACATTATTTATGCATCAATCTCAGGGGAAAACCAGAAACATATACAAACCACAAGCTAGAAGTAGAGTGGAATAAAGTAAAGATGTGGAGCAAGGAGTATGTAGCTCAAGTGGTCATCCGAGGTCTTAAGTTTGATTCCCCGCTCTCCCAATATCGCTTTTATTAAAAGAAAAAAAGAGAGTAAAGAATGGAAGAATATACCATATAAACAATTTGGTCCTTAAAACAAGGGCCGAACTAGTGATTTGAATTCCGATTTTACAACACATGAATAAATTTTAGAAGCTCTGTCAGTGCAACACAACGGTACTTCAAGTCAATACAATATTCAATTCATACATAGTAAAAAACTTAATATCAATGTCCCAGTTTCGTTTGGCAGGTTAAACATGAGCAGCATCCTGCAGTTATACTTTTAATTGCACATAATAGCGTTAACAAACTATGCCACCACAAGTAAAACCAGTAAGCAAATCCTCTATATCACACCGTTACGATACATACCACACACACTCGAAAAGAATATCAAATTTGTGACTGTGCTGGATTATGGAGCATAACATTAGTAATTCTTCTACGGTTTTAGGAGACGAGGAGATTACTGAAAACTGATTAATTCCAAACTAGAGGAAAAAAACAAAGAACACACAAAGCATCTTCAATTTAAAAGAACATCAGATTTGTGAGTGCTCTGGATTATGGGGCACAACATCAGTCATTCTTCAAAGGTTTTAGGAGAAGAGGAAACTACTAAAAATTCTTTAAATCCAAATCATAAGGAGGAAAAAAAAATTTAACACATTAATTACGACAAAATAATGGACAATGCAGTCACACATGAAGGAGACTAGCAAACAAAACAATGTCCCCAAACCTAGAGTGACAAAATTGAAACCCACAGCAACCTGATATGGACATAAATGCTCAGTTGGCCGAACATAGTGAGAAACAGTACTCCTTGCTACGGTGGTATTCTGCATGGACTCAAAAACCGCTTTTCTTCTTCCAGAAATAAGTAAATCAACCAAACAAGCTCTGTTAGCGGTAAGTTACCTGATGCATTATTGCATCTAAAAGAGAGGTGAAGCTCAAATCATCATCAGGTAAAAGCCAAACTACATAATCACACATGAACAACTTCTTTCATTCCCACTGTCGAATTCATCATCTGATCCATCCAATTCACTGCCAATTTGATCATGGTTCCATCTCAGAAAGATATTTAAATGAAGTAGGAAAAATAACAATCAAAGAGAAAAGAAACACAAAAATATGTACTTACTGCATCACACTGAATGCAAGAAAACATCTTACAAAATAAAATATGACGTATACAATGTAAAATTTAACTGTCAAAACATCACACAGGAAATAATAAGCAAGTATTCGACAAGTATAATCAAGAGCACATTGATTGTAGTGAATCCTTGTTGCTTGTTTTTCTTTTTTCTTCCTAGAAGTTGAGTGCTGGTTTTTTTTTTGGCATACTTGAAGAGTAAAGTATCTGAAGCTGGTAATGGCACCAATTTAATATTATTTTCTTATTATGGGAAACATGTACTTTTATCGGATAAAGTTGAACAAGATGTTCATAAGAGCTCAAAATTAAAAAAACCAGAAACACAAGAGGAAATATATTAGCAATCAGCTTGTAGCTCCCAACCAACCAAGATGGATTAGCAGAAACTAACGATCCTAAAAAGCTTTGACATTGCATAGATGCTAAAAATCTAATTGTTTCCATAACAAAGCCACTTCTGCCACCTTGTCTAAGTCTTCAAATTTCTGTTGTTTCGCTAGACAATCACTATATCCCAAAAGTATAAGTTGCTAAGAAACAGGTCAATAATGTATATCGAGCCAACACCACTCGTCAGCCCTATTCTGCACATGGAGAGGTAGATACAAGTAGACATACAGAAGCATATAGGTACAGCCCACCACCCTATACTTTGCACATTAACAAGCAAATGAGGGATGCAGGATTGGATGTTTAGATCCCATATGCTCCTACAACCAAAGCTCTGATACCATATCAGATAACCACTGGAACTCAAAAGCTAAGTTATTAAACAATGGACCTTATCGAGCCAACAACTTCTATCCAAACAATCTAAAAGTAGGCTAAAACCGCACATCTTCAAAGACTAACAGCCTTGTCATTAAACCCAAAAACTAAGCCACATCCATCAAGGAATAGAAATCTCTTGGCAAAACCCACACCACTATGAATGCTGGAAGTAACCCAATGCAAACTTGCATAGGACATGCAAAGGGATATGATCAATACTCTCAACTCACCTTGGCACATAATGCACCAATCGGTAGTTACAAGCAAAAGATCTTAAAACTCCTTCCTCTTTATTTTTCTCTCGATACTCTTCGCCCCCTTTATCGCAATTAAAACTAAGCACAAAATTTATCTGCGCTGAAAAAAAGAGGGCCTTTGAGACATAGCAATCTTATCAGTCAGAAACTTCAACAAGCTCAATCATAACACCTTTGCTGAATTCTTATAAAGGTTTGTAACCAACTTATGAGTTTGTAATCGTTAACTTGCCAATAATGGAGATTCTTGGGGATCATATAAATACATGTAGCCTTAGTTCAAGCATTAACAACCCCATTGAAAAATAACTCCTATAAATTGTCATGAAATCGGCCTTGATCACTTCACTAATTGGACACCCATCTAAATACCCACCCTAAATTTCACCCTCTCATATATGCATTGATATTGCTTTAAACATTATATGTGCGAGGTCAAAGACGCATTAAACATCAGAATATCAAAGTCCATTAAGAGTGATTCAACTGTTATATTCCAGAAGTTGGGAAAACACCCAACCAGAACCCAGAAATGAGGTTTAGTTTCTGGAAAACCTGCAGTTGTCATCACAAAGTTGACTCTAAATGCACCTAATGGCCTAAGTAAAGATAAATTTCGGAAATTGTGATATGTAATACTTAACATAAAATTTTAAATACCTGGGCTCAAATTCCCTGATCTCAACAAGCTCACTCCCGCAAGTATCTGTCCACTGCACTTTCCTCCTTTCTGCATTACCAAGAGTGTCACTACATGTTTCACTCGATGTTTCACGTTCATTAGCACTCTCAACAGAAACTGGAGTTCTTTTTGATGGCTTCTTCAGGCTGCTTTTAAGAACAACTTTTATTGAATTATGATCATCGTCAGTGTCAGCAGTGTGATCCTTGCCTTTATCAGAAACTAGAGACCCAGGCAAGATATCCTGCTGTTGGGCAGGGCCCACCTTAAGAGGAGATGGAGTGTCAAGCCCGGCGGAAGCGCGACCAAAGCAGACAAAGGAGGCGCACCCGCGGGATAGTCGGTCCTTTGTGGAAGCCAGCTGGAGGTCAGTGTCAGATTCTTGGTCCACCAACTGGTACTGATTCCACGGCGAAACTCTCATGGGTTTATCTTCGTTCTTCTGACCCAAGAGAAGAAGGGCCAGGCCTTTGCTATACCCAGAAGCTGAAGATGAGAAGAACCCTCCCCCTTCTACTGCCAATAACATCAGTTCTGCTCATTTGGTCACCAAAATGTGTTTTCCATACAGTTAGCCTCTCCTCAGAATAACCAAAGCCACCTGACTTCCATCCACCAGTAACTCACTTCAGAATAGTGACAAAATATCAGCAGTTGCATTGTTGGCATTCTACCAACTAATCCAGTTCTCAGCTTTAAAAAAACTGTACATATAACATAATATGATATATCGGGCCAAGTAAGTAGTGTATTTCCACACATATGGGCACGCACACAGTAGGCCTCTTAAATGAAGGGGTCCTAATTTCTGGAAATCGCATGTTCAAATACATGTAATGTGGTCCAATGATATGAACCATTAATTTTTGGCCCATGTTCAAATACCATCATCAAAAAAATAATTCAAATCGGACACCATTGAGTTATTTAACTATGGCCAAACAAATAGATGAACACTATGTTTTGGATAAACACAGAAATGATCGTGATGATAACCAAACAGCAAAAATAGACATTTCGGATCACTGGAGTGCATTGCTATATGTACATACACAAATCTTGTGGTCTTTCTCTAATGTGGTCCGATGATCTGAATCGTCTACATTTTAAGTTCCCGTTAAAGATCATCCTTGTTAAAGATCATCCTTGTTAAAGATAAAAAAATTGGTAATCTTTGAGTCATTTAATTATCATCAGAATCATTCATGAGTAAGTCAAAAACACTGTACTTCTATACTTCTTTTATGAAAACTAGATAACTCAAAAAATTTATTTTTTGTTTATTTGTTGCAGGGTTGATCCTTCAAATGGAACCAACTATTTGGATCACTGGACCACATGAAGAGGTGGCCCCTTTTGAAAAATGACGGCATGTACATAAGAATGATCAACAAGGTCTTCCTAAGAAGATGTTTAATTTATTGGGAAAAAGAGAATTACCAATACCAAAAATCGCATACATGCAGTTATGGATGTATGCATATCTCAATCATCTCATAATTTAGTGCAGCTCCAAGAAAACTATTACAAACTTACAAAAATTAGTAAGCAATACAAGAAACAGTTATACATTAGCCATCACAGCACTCCAGTTAATTTTTTTATTTACTGTCATTAAAAGAAACCAACAGTGACTAATTACCCTTATATAAATCAGTATAATAAACAGTTAAATAATTTTATTAGTTCCTATTATAGAATTTTTTTTTAAATAAAAACAGAGAAGCATAAATCAGCTCAATTTAAATTCCCGAATTGCTATGTTTGCTTGCAAAGACAGCACATGAAAGATCAAAGAAAAGGAAATTCAGATTATGAATCTGAAGCTTCTCATGTAAAAGAGAAGAGTGCAATTTGTTGGCATAATTGAGCTAAATTTGACTTTTCAAGAAAAACCCATGGAGCAAACTTTATTTTCTTTTCACTTGCCGCAGTTTCTTGCGAAGCAAACGGAAAATCAGATCAAAGAGAAATGAAGAAGAGTCAGCAGCACTACCTGAAAGTGTTGGAAATCCAAGAGGTAGAGATCTCCAGGTGTTCGGTGGTCGTCGAATCGGCGGCTGTGACTTCTTCGATCGCGGCTTGTGCTAAAAAATGGGTGATGAATCGGAGAGAGAGAGGGGAGAGAGAGAGAAGGAGAGAGAGAGAGAAATGAATAAAAAAGAAAAGAAAAAGAAAAGAAAAGGAAAAAAAGAAAGAAAGAAAGAAAGAAAGAAAAAGAAAAGGATGGGTTTACTTATGGTTGGTATTATTTAAAGGTGGATAGGATAGTGACTCTCAGGAAAGCATGACAGCGATGGGCCCTCATTAATTTGCTTCTGTTTCTCCTTTTCTACACTGTCACTTTTGTCTTTTGGGAAAGTAGGATCCATTGCTCTCTCTTGCTCCCAACTTTTTGAGAGCCACTTGAGTATTTGTAAAGAGATTATAGTTTTCAAACTATTTGTATCTAATCACTAATATCTCCCAACACAATTCACCAATATCTAATAAAGAGCGTTACCAAAAAAAAAAAAATATCTAATAAAGAGCATAGTTTTATTGTTTAAAGTTCGATTCGTTTAAGATTAAAGAATCCTTAATTATAATAAATTGTTACGAATTATAAAGGAAAAACTCTTTCAATTCATTGTTTATTTGTGATTTTGGTTTGGTTGATTGGAAATGGTAATTTAAAGTGTTTGGGGTGAATTTGATTGAGGTGAATCATGGATTTTTGTTTTGGTTGAATTTGGTGAAACATGGATTTTGTTTGGGGTCACAATTGCACTTAGATTTGACTATAGATTACCCACAGAATTTTGCCAGGATCAAACCACATGTAGTCCAAATAAATTAGGTGGTTTTATACCACTTGGGTTGGGCCGTGAGTTATAAATGTGGGTATTAATGGGCATTTTCGTTTTGAGTCCATTAATCTACACTCAACTATTTGCCAATTAAAAGTGGCACAAGTTCATCGTGCTTTGGTTTCGATTTATTAGATGGCAAGAATCCATTGGGAGGTGATAGGATTAGGCCTCATCATTTGGCCCGCGGGCTCATGGGCCGATGGGGGCCCGCCCGGCCCATCGAAAAAAAGCCCGGCCCGGTCTGTTATGGGCTTTGAGATGGCCCGGCCCGCCTTGGGTCGGGCCGGGCTTGGGCTTGAGTGTTTGAAGCCCGGCCCGATTAGGCCCAAGAAAGCCCGGCCCGTTAGGCCCGCATACATATATAATTATGTATAAATAAGAGTTTAGGATTAGGATTATATCACTTAAATCACATATATAATTTGTTTCATTTCATTTACTTTTCTTTACTCATTCCTAGTTTTATAATTGGATGATTAGCACATTAATTTAATTTATGTCAATTATTAATACAACAATTATATATATATAAAAAAGATGAACAACATATCATATCACTAAATATAATCATATCACGAAACATAATCGTACCACCAAATATAATCATGCTTTTTGAACACATCACCAAACATTTGCATATTTATTCATACCATCCTTTAAAAAAAAAAAAAAAATTATACTTATTATTTTTAAAAATTATTTCTGAAAACGTATTACGGTCTAATTATGTAATAACCTCAAAAACAATCCTTGGTTTTATTATTTTTGTAGAAAATCTTATTAAGTTGTGTGACTTTATTAGGTGTTTTATGAATTTGGTTTGATGTGAAAATATTGGAATTAAGTGAGTTTAATCTCAAATTTGGACTAAAATGCCCTTATGATTAAGTTTATGATTTTTTTTCGATTGAAGTAGGCCCGTTTTGGCCCGGCCCGGCCCGATGGGCTTTCTCAAGCCCGGCTCATGGGTCGGGCTTGGGCTTTGAATTTTCTAAAAAAACCCGGCCCCGCCCGCTATTTTCTCTCTCCTCTTTAAAGCCCGGCCCGGCCCGGTCCAAGCCCATTAAATTTGGGCCGAGCTAGCTCGGCCCGGCCCATTGACGAGCCCTAGATAGGATCCTTGTAGCAGTCGATGGCCTTGACTTGAGTAAGGCTCAATCAACTCAATCTCATGAAATATTTTGGGGTTAGATATTCTTCTAGTTTAGTTTTAGCATCTCGAGAAGAAGTTTGAGTTTCTATAAGGTGAAGTTATACAAGACAATGAAATGAAACATTGTTGAGAAGAAGAAGAAATTTACGGCTCTTCAATGGGATATAGTAGGACTCATGTCCCCTTTAAGCATAAAGGAGAAAGCAATCAAAAGCGACAAGTCTCAAGTCTTTGGTCTAGACGAGGATTTCACCTTTAGGTCCCGTTTGGTTCACGGAATGGATTTAATGGGAAATCATTTCCCATGTCATTTCCCAAGGGATGGGAAATGGTGATTCCTTTCCCATGTTTGGTAATGTCGGAAAAGTAACCCGGAACTATTACTTTATTTCCTTTCCCATGTTTGTTTTGAGTTGGAATGGAAAACTAATTTTGTTTAGTTTTCCAATTTTACCCCTATTAAAAATATGTTATGAATTAAAAAAATAAAAAAGGAATACCAATAGTTGTTGGATAAAACTATAATTATAAATTATTAGTAAGGACAAATTAGTCAAAAAAATGTGCATTTAATGCTAGCCTTACTTTCCCATGAGAAGGGAAAGTAAAACTCAAGGAGGGAGGATGACTTCACTTTCCCCCCTACTTTCCCATGTTCCAGGCAACGATTTCCCATGCCTGACTTATCAAACGTGGGAAAGAAATTGATTTCCCATCCCCAAGTTTCCTTTACCATGAACCGAACGGGGCCTAGGGTAGAGCTGGAAAGGGTGGAGTTGGCTGAAGAACTAGATAGAGTTTAAGGTCAAGTTGGTGCACACCCAAAGTAGTGCATGTGATTATGGATACTGCTCTTCACGGTTAGGGCTCCACTTCACCCAAAGTAGTGCATGAGACAACAAAAAAAGGTTTCCAATTCCATTCATTATATCAAGTAGCAAACAGAGAGAAGCACTCTCTTCTCTTCACGGTTAGGGCTCCACTTCAGTACCTCATCTTCTTATCCACTTCTTTCAAGTTAGTAAAAAATCGTGAATGTTTTTCTTCTTTTCTCATCCACACGTTTTACTTTCCTTATGTTTGATGAACATTTCTTCTTTTATTTTCCTCATGCTTGCATCTTGAAGCTTATCATTACTTCATCACAAAGCTATCTTTACATACAATATTTTATTATATTATTTTTTGTTCATATGCCATTAATTATTTAGGTGGATAATCTGTTTCTTTAGTTGTAATTCATTAAGTGGATAATCTTTTCATGGAATGTTCTCAATTTGATTACATCCTACTTATTAGGTTGGGTTTTATCTTCATTGTGAATTATTGGAATATAGTTACACTCTTGTAATGTGACCATGTTGCATTAGATTTGTACAATTAAAAAGGATTTGTACATGTGATATAGTAATTATCAATGAAATATTTACAGTGGGGAAATGACAAAGGAAAGAGCAAAGTTAATTGGGGTTATAAATTATAGATGTTGGAAGAGAGCAATGAGTTGCTACAACTCATGGTTGATAACACTAATCGTGGTGTGATAGTAATGGAATGCTAAGCAAGCAAATAATTGAGAACAAAATATTTCCTTCTCTTAAGGCAAAACTTGGATGTGAAAAGAATCATTCACAATACTTAAGCCGATTGAAATGGTTTAAGCAACGGTATAATATGTTTTGTGAGCTTATGCATCATAGCTCTGGGTTTGGGTGGGATCCAATCATAAAGAAGTTCACTGCTAGTGATGAAGTGTGGAAATATTACATTAAGGTGACCTTGACAAGACCCACCCCGAATTCCTCAGAATTCGTGACGAATCCTATGGTTTTTCCAACATCAAATCAATGCCAGGCCCACTTACTAACAACATCCTCTTCCCCGATAACAAAGGAAAAAAGGGTCGAGACTTTCTACCGAAATTTCGACAATCTCCCCTGAAAAACGGACTTTCCCCAAAATTTTCAACCTGTCAAAACACAGTAATAAAGTTCACAACTAGTAGCACGCACAATACACAAGCATACAGTTTACAGATTAGGCCTCCAGCCTTACATCCAACCCTAACATGGGCAATAACATAGCAATTCTAAAGAAATTCAGTTTACAACAGTTTACAACTGGAAACAAACGTTCAAAAGAAAACAAAACAAATAGAAAATTTCCCCACAAAAGTTCAAGGCGCGGAAGTGCGAATCTTGGCTCGGTTGCTCGGCTTAGAACAAGCTACTGCCTGGGGGACGCAAAACAGAAAATTGTGAGTAGACAAAAACAAGTTTCAACATAGTTAAAAACAACATACTAACCCCACCGTTTTAGAAAATGATGTCAAAACATGCATTCAAAACCAATATATATAGTCAAAATAAAACTAAGGTAAAACCCATATCTCGTAATAGTATACTAATACCCAAACCCAACTTAAAACTTTTCCTTTTTTCCCAAACCCAACTTAAAACTTTTCCTGTTGGCACAGCGAGCGAGGAAGGATCCTCACCAATAAATAAGGAAGCAACTCAGTCAATTTGTAAGTTAATTATCACCTATGCAAACCATATTATTTATTCTAATTTATAATTTTTTTTTATAACCGAGTCAATGATATTTTTTGATACTATATTGTGGAAGAGGGACTGCACATGAACATGTACATGAACACCCATTTCAAGAGAGGGTTGCCCGCTGAACTGGTGAATGCCAAAGAGTTTCCCGTATCTTCACGCCGCAATGCCAGGGAAGGGAACATGAATCCTCCTCCATCCTTAAGAACACTTGATAAGAAGGTTGACAACTTGGGTTGAAAGCTTCGGGAGGAGCTTAAGGGTGTTGAGTCTAAGGTGATGGAGAAGATGACTTATGTTGAAATCAATATATTGGATACAATAATGAAATCAGAGTAAACCCAACCGCAATTAGTAATAGTATACTAATACCCAAACCCAACTTAAAACTTTTCCCTTTTTCCCAAACCCAACTTAAAACTTTTCCCGTTGGCACAGCGAGCGAGAAAGGATCCTCACCAATAAATAAGGAAGCAACTCAGTCAATTTGTAAGTTAATTATCACCTATGCAAACCATATTATTTATTCTAATTTGTAATTTTTTTTTTATAACCGAGTCAATGATATTTTTTGATAGTATATTGTGGAAGAGGGATTGCACATGAACATGTACATGAACACCCATTTCAAAAGAGGGTCGCCCGCTGAACTGGTGAATGCCAAAGAGCTTCCCGTATCTTCACGCTGCAATGCCAGGGAAGGGAACATGAATCATCCTCCATCCCTAAGAACACTTGATAAGAAGGTTGACAACTTGGGTCGAAAGCTTCGGGAGGAGCTTAAGGGTGTTGAGTCTAAGGTGATGGAGAAGATGACTTATGTTGAAATCAATATATTGGATGCAATAATGAAATCAGAGTAAAGCTTTTAATAACAAATAGAGCTATGAATATTGTTTGTTATGGGTTCCAAGTTTTAATTTCTCTGATTTTGCTATATATGTATGTTAGGTTTTTGGGAATGTTTTGAGTTGGGTGCTTGATTTGGTTTGTTTATGCACTTTATCAATTCTAACTATGTCATTATATGGATTATCTCCCCAAACTTTGTTGTGGTAATGCTCGTGTGCTATTTATGTGCCTTCTATTTTCCCTTTATTCAAGTGGAATGTGAGCTAACAATGAAGATGCATTACTATAGCAGGATCCTAACTACTTGATCATATATCATAGCAGCATTGCATGGCATATTAAGTTGATAGATGTTATTTAAGAATTTATAATCATATTTTAAGTAGAAGATTACAGTGATGAATAAGGGGGAAAAATGTGTTGTTCAAGCCTAATCATATTCCTAAAGGTCATCAGTTAGAATCGCATTTGGAGTTTTTTTTTTTGCACTCCTCTTTATTGAGTGATAGAAGTCTTCCGCAAAGAGGAGTTGTCGTTAGATTTTACGGTGGGGCATGTCTTCTTATCTTAAACAGTGGCATTGATGGTCTTTATTTTGCTAACATCCTCACACCTATTTTATATGCTTCTTCATGGAGCTTGATAAGAAAAAAAAGGACTTTTGTACCCAATAGCAAGTATAGGTACTGAGGTTTTGTTGAGGTGTTCTTGAGGTGGTTAAGTTGTACTATCTTTTAGTGTTCTGGTCATGTAAGCTTATGTTATAGTGAGTCAGAACTAAAGATTTGGGGCTTATAATAGATAAATGGCCTATCTATGGGACTGGGAAAGAGACAACCAACTTTCTTTGAGAAGGTTTGAATCAGACGTTTGATTTAAATGATGATTGCACAAATTTTCATCTACAAATTGATTGAATAAATAAGGTAGTGCTTCAAGTTACCATGTCACATTTATTTACGAGATTCTTTTATAAGTCAAGTAAAAGCACAATGGGTGGGTGGTTGCATGTCAACCCCATCCAAAACAATCAAATCACAGATCAAACTCCCTTGAGATCCCTTGATAATTCCGCAAGTATACAATTTCAGTACCTTGCATATGCTTTTTTACGGGATCATTAGAAATCACTTGTCTAACTGCATAGTACCCCGGGTTCGGATTATGCACCAAACTTTCTGAAATTAGTTATGGGAAAGAAACATATAAAAGATATTCTTTCAAATGGATGTCGTGATTACATGCCTTCTTCATTCTCACATACAAGAAAGAGCACTTCATCCATTTTAGAACACAATAGGCCACCACCCCATGGCCAATATGCTGGCAGAACGTGGATGTCTTGAGAAAATTTCAGTGGCCAAAAAATTCTCGAAACACCCAACATTACCTATACCTATGTGATTGTGACAACTAAAGGAGCAACTTTTGGTCTTGCACCACGACCAAAAAGTGGCCGGAGCTTGCTGGAAAATCGACTCAAAAACCAGTCAAAACCTAGGTTCTAAATTGAGTTTTAAAACTTCAAAATCAATCCTAACCAACCATAGTATCAGCTAGAGCACGTTGAGTAGGTGGACAAGCATACCTGGATCAACAAAAATGGTGGTCGAAATCATCGAAAACGAGGGCGGGAAGTGGGAGTCCGGCCGGTTTGAATGGTGGTGGTTTCGTGGCCTGAGGTTGCTGGAGGAGGAAGTTTGCTGGCCAAACAGTGGTCGGCGCTGTTGGTTATCGAGAGAAGAGAGAAAGATCGGGGAAGTTTGCTGACCGTGTTTTTTTTTTTTAAAATCCGACTTTGAAAAATTTACAGTTGTGCCACTACAAAAGTGACCAAAGTTAGTAATATTAACAAGGCCTTTTGCATACTGTTTGCAGCACCAATACTTTGTTACTTGATTGCTTTATATCCAATCATTTGCCTCCAATTTCTTTGGCAAGAATTCCCTTGACAAATATTGACTACTTTTCAAGCTCAAATTCTCAATATTTATCATCTTTCCGATCTCCAACATTTTTTCTATCTCACTAACCCAATTTTTGTCACTCGTCACAAACTGTTGTTTCAAAAAGGTATTTGTTGCAGAGACACTAGTCCCTTCCAATGGTATGTCTCTTGGATGAACTTCATATTTTTCTATATCTGACGGCCTCACACCCAACCATTTAATGTTTGGAGTGGCTAAGTCACGACTGTCAAATGATTTCCTAACCCAACCATATTTGTAATCAAAAAATATGTGAAGTCCAGATGGATTGCAATCCACAACAATGGTTAGCACTGGAAGCTTTAAATCATAATAAAGTTTTTTCAAGAATAACTTGGTAGCTCTGTGACCAAATCCTTTTCCTGTCACCATAATGCAACGAGCCTCCTTATGAAAATTATCCTTAACTAAATGAGTAAACACAGTATTCTTCTCAACAAGTAAGATGAATAATGCCCTATGGTTCTTGAAATTATCTACTATATGATCACAAAACGTGATACGCAAGGCAAACAAAGAACAATCAAAAAGAGAATTGTCGCACCTGAAGCTAAATAGACCAATAACCTCATCGTGTGAGTTAGCAAAGACCTTAAGATTGGGCCTTGTGCAGCCTATCATGCAACATATGTCATCAATTACGCTATCCGAACCGCTCTCAGTCCCAAACAGCTTAGAATCAACATAAAAAACCTCACGCTTCTTTAGGCATTGTTTATTGATGAAGCAACGTTCATGGATGATCAACAAAACCAAAAAGGTACGTATGCATAAGCGTTGTGACTTCATATTAGAGTAGGAACGTGTTATTTCATGTCTCGTCAGCAACCTATGGCATAACTCATCGTTGAAGACCATGCGGGTTGAACTTCTAGAAGTCACAATGAACTTGAAGTCCTTCTTAACTTCTAGAAGGCACCGTAACTTCTTCTTTAAAACTTCGATTTGGGCCCATTGCGTGTCTACAAATTATCGACGAGCTCTAAGCAACAGTGTTACTCAAATCCAAAAAATCCTTACGGATCGAAAAGTGACTAATGTGACCCTACCCCAAGGGTAAAATTGTAATTTCACAATTTAAGTAAATTGAATAAAATGATTAAATTGGGTCGAGGGTGTTACAGAGCTTCTATTTTGCAAAATATATTATATGATAATTTATTATTTTGTATGTGTATGAATTAAATTGTATGGATTTTTTTTCCTTTGTTAGTCCTACCCGGCCCATGTCAACTTTAAAAAATACACTTTTACTGACTATGAAATTTTGAGAATTGCAATTGGGAATGGAACTACCATTGAGAGAAACTCAACTGCATTGGGTGATGATGCAGATGCAAGAATATTGGGAGTGGAAGAAAGTAAACGTGTGGGGATAGATGACTTGAATTATGGCTATGATAATCATTCATTCATATCAAATGAAGTTGAAGTTGTAATATTCCAAGATCTATCATCCAAACAATCTAATTCATCTTTTCCTACTCAAGGCACAAATGTGGAGCTTCCCTTGGAAAGCAATTGTAAGAAAAAGAAAAAGTAGAATTGAGTATGAGGGGAACACTAGCTCTTTTGAGACCAACACTCGAGTTGATGTTCTAGAAAGAGTTTCTCTTAGCATTGATTCAGTTGCCATAGATTTCCGGGGAATCCATAGCCTGATGCAAACAAAGGAAAATAGAGTGGTTGCTAGGATGCTATCATGGAAATCCCAAACTTAGATAGTCAATCTCTTTACAAGGTTGTTGAGTTGCTTAATACCAAAGCTAAAAAAGATATGTTCTGGAAAATGTCACCTCAAGAGCGTAAAGATTGGATAATGTATAAGTTGTTGGAATGAATGAGGTTATGTGGGAGACAATAGGCTTTGGTTAGGAACCTAGTTTTTGGTTTATTTTGGAGTATGCTTAAGCACGACTTGTATAAATTTTTCGAGTTTGTTTATGGCTTCATTTGTGGAATTTTGTCAAATTTGCTATTGGGAACATGTTTTTTTTGTATTTTTGAGTATGTTAAGCATGACTTGTCTAAAGTTTTGAACTTTGGTTGTGGCTTGATTTGTCGAATCATATAATATTCTATGCACCAATTATACTGATTTGCTTATCTGGATTTTTCTATTTGTGGGTTCTAAGATGATAATAGACGATGGCACTCTCTCATATGATATATTGTATAATAGTCAAATGCTTGGTATTATTTATGGTATAATGGATGCGACAAGATATCAAGGCCTATGTTTATCATTCTATTGTTTCATATGCATCAAATTAAATATATCTGAGTAGTTGGTGTTTTTCAATTCCTATTATAATCTTTAGAAACAAATTCTGAATATAAAGTTGATGGTTTGCTGATGTCAACTAGATGCAACAAGATATCAAGGGCTCATGCTTCACATTCTGGTGTTTCATATGAATCAAATTAAATATCTTTGAGCAGTTGGTGTTTTTCAATTCTTATTATAATCTTTAGAAATAAATTATGAATATAAAGTTTATTGTTTTCTTATGTCAACTAGTGTGATATTTTCGTCCAAAAAAAAAAAGAACAAAACAAAACTAGTGGGATGCTTTATCATATAGGGCTCTGCTGGGAAAAAAAAAATGTTAACAAATTTCAACTAGTATGTAATGGTGGTATTCAGGAAAGATACACTTGAGTAGTTGGTAAGATAAATTGCATGCGTGATATCTTAAATATTAATTCCATTTTAGAAATTTCAAGTGCATTCTTTACTAAACAAAGGCAACCACATTATATATATATTACACAATGTAATTGCTTCCAATTTGTTTTAGGTGGTTCACATATAATGTCTCAATCGATCATGCATGGAAATAATGGAGAAGAGGAAGAGGAAATGGAGGGAGAAGAAATGAATGAGGAAGAAATGGACGAAGAATTTTATGAAACCATCAAGCATTTACTAATGGCAATGGAAGCAGTGGTCCAAGTGCTACATGAGCTTATAGTTATCATGCGTAGTGAGCATATTGGGCGTCCATTAATCATTTGGCCAATTACTACAAGCACGTATGATTATATACATAAAATATTACATGAAGATCCTGAAGACTTCCGATAAGTCTATAGAATATATCCAAATGTGTTTAGGAAATTATTCAGTATCATCAAAGACAAAACACTCCTACAAGATACAAGATTTACTTGTGTTGAAGAAATACTTGCTACATTTTTACTCATTGTAGGCCAAAATTCTTGATATTGTCTTACTTGCAAGACATTTGATTGATCACATTTTGCTACTAGCAAAAACTTCAACAAAGTCTTGAAGGCATTGAATACACTAGCACCAAAGATGTTGGCTAAACCTGGATCTGCAATACCAGTAGAGATAAGAGAGAGTACAAGATTTTACCCGTGCTTTAATGTGATGAAATTTATTATCATAAGTATTATTGTTATTATTCCAACAATGATCAAACATATATAGTTTTAATTATAATTTCATATTAATTCATTTCAGGATTGTATTGGAGCTATTGATGGCACACATATTCCAGCCATGGGAAAGGGACGTGATGTAAGCAGCTACCATAATCGTCATGGAAAGATATCAAAAAATGTATAGTAGCATGTAATTTTGATTTGGAGTTCATATACGTGCTTAGTGGATGAGAATGTTCAGTTCATGATTCAAAAGTGTTAAATGATGCTTTATCAAGGAAGGTTCAGTTTATATACACTTGTTTGGGCTTAAATTTCATGTGCCATCCTAACTAACTATTAGCCCATGTAAAAAACAGTGGCTTGGGCTTAGTGTTACCAAAATTAGAAGTCAGCCCAGATTGTTTTAGAGGCCTAGACCTTTGTGAATCAATTGCAAGGAAATAAACTTACATGTTAAAGATTAATCACCATTAATGGTGATTTAATCTGGACAAATCAGTTTTTAATTGGTTTAAAAATTAAGCCCAACTTCTAATCTCTCCAAAGGCTCAAGATTTGATCATCACCATTGATCACAATTCCAGAGATCAAGTCAGCAGATTCTTGGGGAAGATGTTTCGCTAAAAAAAAAACCCACGTGACTCTAAAGTCAAGGTTTCAACAGGGGAGAGGAAGTGATGGGGAGTCGGTAGAAGGTTTAATTGGAAAACCACTCCCCATAACCATTTAATGCCAGAAAAGGAGGGCCAAGTTTCCTTCCTATGCTCGTGAGGGCTTTGCATTAGAGCAAGTTGGGTTTAGAAAAGATTTACAAGAGATAGGAGAGTTGGTTTATCAGAAGATCAAAATTGATCATCATGGAAACTAACTGTTGATGGGGTCTCTTGTCAGACTAATTACTCCCCTTTTTGCGTTAGAACAGAAAATCCTCTCAATAAGATCTGTCCTTCAGATATTATAAACCCTCATTCAGATTCTTGATAAATATGAGAGGAGGTGAACAGGATAGTGGCAGCCAGAAAATTCAATCAAAAACAAAACTCTCAAGTCATAATGAAAAACTCAAACAAGAGCATACGATCTCAAAAGACCTTTAGACTCTGAAGCAATCAGAACATTTGGTTTGAAAATCCATCCAGCCCCTAATACCAAAATAGGCAGATGTTTGAGAATCAACAGAACAGATCGCAGGTGGTCCACAATTAAGCATACCAGGTGCTGAAGTGCAGTTTCGGACCATAAATTGTCAATCCAGCCGCTTCCAATCCAATCCAAACTGAATAAATCCCAGTTCTGCTCATCCAACAAGCCTCTATGGCTAAAAAAGATTAAAGCTTTACCAATCTCAACATTGGTATCGATTTCTAGATGAACCTCATCAGTTGAAGGTGCTGACGCTTGAATCCAATACAGATACATCTAGTCCAGCTTGAGTCACATGCAACAATCCAAGCAGAAATCGAAGTCCAATGTTCTGTTGTCCTTTCAGACGTGGTAGTCCCCTTTTGTTTCAAATTGTAATAGGCAGTTCTATTTGAAACAGTTTGATTTATTTTCAATATTCATTTTGGCCAGAACTACTAGTTTTACTATGGGAAATTGTGAAGTCCTCACCAGTCTGAGGCAAGAAAAGAACTTACTTGAGAGATATTCCTCTCCCAAATTCACAATCACTTGTTCAAAGTCAGTAACTTGGGGTGCAAGTTATTTATTTTTCATAAATTTGTTAGGACTGCTAACAGTGGCACGCTCGCACACCAAAGAAAGTTGACTTGTTGACCACAAATGGTTTTCAAGCCAATGGGGAATTTTACCCTACCACCACAGGACTAAATCTAAACGGGTGAACAACACTCTTATCTCTTCGTTTTTATTTATTTATTATTATTCATTATATCATGCTTTGCATACAAATTTAATACATATTTTATGATTAGGTAAATATTTCTTAGTCAATTGTGAATTTCCAAATCAACAACAATGTTTAGCTCTATTTTGGGGTGTACAATATTATCTCCAAAATTTTGCTGGGTAAGGTCGTGACCCTGAAAACGCAGTTGAGTTGTTCAATCTTCACCATACTTCCTTGAGGAATATAATTGAGGGATATTTGGGATATTTAAATCAAAATTCACAATTTTCAAGTCAGTATCTCCATTCCCATATAGGACTCAAGCATAGCTTGTGTTAACTTGTGCAGGACTACATAATTTACGAAATAGTTTGGACCCATATTCTTTGTCTTCTCTTGATCAATCAGGGAAGGATAATATTCCTCCTATTTCTATTATTTCGACTTTGACAAAGGATGACATACATCGAATGGAAAAATTATGGGTTAGCTAGCTAGCTAAAGAAAACTACTTTCAGCAACCCATGCACGCGCAACTGCTACCAAGCTTGTAGTGAACCTCACTCCAAGGCTTCAATAATATTTCTTGTCC